CACTCTCTCGTTGCTCCACGGCCGCAGCAGGTGAAGAAGAGTCGTCGTGGACCGAGGTCGCGAAGTTTGCAGTATCGTGGTGTTACGTTCTACCGGAGAACGGGAAGATGGGAATCGCATATTTGGTTAGCAGTTTGATATTGATTATTCTCTTTCTTTGTAGTTTACTTCATTCAGTTTTCACTTCATTCAGTTTGATATTGTTTTTGAACTGAGGATCTTTCTTTGTAGTTGCCCCGGAAAAATGATTATAGTTACCATCACTACTTCCATATGTCGATGGGAAATGTATATGCTGCTGTTGCTGCTTATTAAGGTCTTGTATGTGAACTGAGGATCTTTCAATTTCTTGACTGACGGCATTAGAACCTGATGATGGTAATTTATTTTTATTACAGGTTGTGATTTACAAGGTATGTTACAAGTGGATGTATGGTCACCTTAAGGTGTTTTGAGTTTGTAAACAGGGCTGTTGAAGGTTGACGGCAAAGTGTGTTTGTTCGTGTTTTTTCACTGCGGTGATTGTCGAACAATCGTGTGTCGGAGCCTGAGATTCATGATTGAAGAAGAACAATGATTGTGCGAGAGAAGTATTTGCAGTGCGTGGTGGTTGCTGCACAATAGCTGATGCCGGTAACAACATGCTCGGGTCCTTTTGGAGCTTAACAACTTCTTTAAGACCATGATTATTTGCATAGCATGATTGTAACACTAAATAATGGCTACCTCAAATTGGAGATCACATGTATAATCTTGACATGTAATTTAAGATGTATGATCTCTGAATCTTGATGCAAAAAAAGATCGTAAATTGCACCTCCTTCTTTGTAATTTCTAAGACTAACATTATTCATATTCTTCTTAGAACTTTTGTTATCACTTTTGTTATGTACCATGAAAGTTAAGTTCTGCATAATGATTTTGCAGGTCATGCTGCTGTTACTTCGGGCTGTTTTTTGCAAGTTACGACACTATTATGGAGCACATAAATTGGAGGACCATGGTGATGGGCAATTCTGGATCAATATGACAATACCAACCTGCGTTAATTTGTATGTATGCGACCACGGTTGGGCCAAGACTGGGAACGAGTAGCTGTTGGCGCTGCCTTTGCAACTTTTCCAAAATCGGCTCGCTACGTGACTTGGTGGACGCGTCATCGCGTGAAACTCACGTGAAGGCAAAGGTCCTACTACGTTAACATTCTGAGCCATGTAAGTTTCTTGTCATATCCTCATTTCTCTTCATTTCTTATTTTTTCACAGCTTGATGTATTGATTGAAGCATTACATTCTCCTGCGCGTCAATGACTGGAAAGTCGGCGTACAAAAATTTGCGTGGCTTCGGCTCCCCGTACACAACAGTTTTGCTTTTTTTTCTGCTCATGAAATGGTATGAATTGTATATGACATTTGAAGATGTATCATACATGGTTCATGTTATGTTCTCATTTTTCTGGCGTATACACGCTGCAGATGTCGGTCATTTTGTCGTGATGGTACTACCAATTTTCAAATGGCCTGTGTATTGTCTATTTGGAATGGTGGCCTGACCATGTGGTGAATGAGGTCTGGCGGAGCATAGCTCGGCACAGGGAAGCTGCTGCGAAATGTTACCTGGAGGTAAACATTGTGGCTTGTTGCACCGACCTGTATATAATATCAAAAGGAAAAGTGCAGAATGTTCAAGCAACAGTTCCTATTCAAACTATGATTATTTCTAGTCCTAAGCCAAGTTTTCTGTCCAAAGATTTACATAGGTATAAATTACAGTTATGTCAAAAAAATGAGTTTTTTTAAGATAAATTCGTCGAGGTTTAGTCCTTAATTTAGTGATTCTGTCATGCTCGTTTGTTCAGAACATCATTCGAACCTAGACTCTGGCGGCGCTTAAGTAACGACGGTGGAATCTTCGGTCAAAACATGGATGCTAGACTAGGATCAAGATGTATGTCTCAAAGAGATGCTTATCCATCAAGAATATCAGTATTAGACGAAAACCAAGATGTAAGTCACTCTTATTTCAATCATCAATGACAATAGTTTGAAAATTTTAAGCATGTATGAGAAAAAGCTAGGCTTATTGAACAGGCTGCATTGGATTTAGAAGAGATCAAGCAGAAAAAGCTTGATGCCCAAATTGGTGAAGGTGGATATGGACCTGTTTTCAAAGGAGTTCTTGATAACACTGATGTTGCAATGTGACCCATCTATGAACAATGTGATATACATGTGTTTTTGTTTCTGTACATGTTTCATCTATCTATAGTTTATTCCATGGTTGTAGATTCTTTGGCCATTTTTTGTATAACTTTTCGATTGAATGCAGTGGTTTTTGATTACAATATTACATCTGCTGCAGAAATATTGAGAGTTTCTGGAATGTTGTCCAACCAAGGTTTTGGTGACTTTGATAGACATCAGCATAGAAGTCCTAGTCCTATGGTGTCTTCAATGTCTAATGTCTCTGCGACAGGAATTGGTGCATGGAATAATCTTCAGCAGGAGGTGACTTCTTTTAAATTATCAATTAACTGTTGCATTATAAAGTTGATATGCTCAAGTTTTTGTTATATTTGTATGTTTAGATGCACAATAATATGACTCTATGTGCGAGGTGTTTTGTTCGCGGAAGCTATAAAGTTGGGACGAGTAATACTGATTTCAAGAGAGTGGAGATAAGTGAGGAGACTAAGCCTGATTGGACTGAGAAGGAAACTCTGAAACTTCTTGAATATATTACGAATTTCGGTGATGATTGGAAGAGGGTTTCTCATCATGTTATTGGAAAGACTGATAAGGAATGTGTTGCTCGTTTTCTCAAGCTTCCTTTTGGGGATCAGTTCATGCATTCTCAACGCTTCGAGTCTGCTCATCTCGTTGATGATAGTTGTTCTGATCTGTTGAAGCCTTCCGTTAATGCTGGATGTGAATCAGAAACTGCTGGCTTGGGTAAATCTAGTAAGAGGATGCGTCTCACGCCTCTTGCTGATGCAAGCAATCCTATCATGGCTCAGCTTATTTTCTTGGCTTAAAGTGATCTTTGTTTTCTTTGAATTATCGCTAATTAACTTCATTTGATTACGTTTAGCAATAAAGAATCATGATGTGTGCTATATAACGATCCTTGTTTTCTTTGAATTATTATTGATCTGTGTTGAATATGAACCGTGTTGAAGGGTGGATGATTTATTTGAAAGTTCTTTTGTTTCTTAACAATTTTTATGTTCAAATTATTGCAGGCTGCTTTCCTTTCTGCTTTGGCAGGGACAGAGGTTGCACAAGCTGCAGCTCAAGCTGCTCTGAGAAGTTTGTCCGATGTTTACAAGTCAAGTTGAAAGAACGAACCGCCTGCAAATTTCAAATGGAAACTGAATGAATTTTATGACAAACAAATAGAATTTATTTCAATCAACTACGCTGCATAATTGCATATTTCAGCACCAAAACATTTGTTCTGTCAAATATCTGAATATGTCAATTATGAAAAGAAGTTAACCTTCTGAACCTTGGAAGCATACTTGTCTGTTTCTTCATCCCCATACTGCATGTATGCAACAAGATAAAAATCATTGCTCATCAACATTTAGCTCTAGACTCAAACATCAGACACACATAGACACTGTAATATATCTAACAGTACCTGTCCTGTTACTGTATACAATCTGTTATACCAGCCATTTGTTAACATCCCAATACAGCACAATAAAAATGTCCTGGTTGCATCTAGGCAGAGGGACTAACATACATGTATTGATCTATGATGTTTAAACATTGTCATGGTTGCATCTACTGCTGTCAAAATTTGGTTTTTCATGCTAAAAACTTGTTTGTATTTGTTTTGACAAACCGATTCAACCCAACCGAATAAACCGTTTAAACCGATAATCCACCAACCAATAAAACCGAACTTAGTCTTGGGTGAAATTGGGTTCAACTTTTTCAACCGTGAATTAGTTCAGGTTAACTATTTTGAACCCGAACCCACCCATAACCGACCGCCGTCCACCCCTAGTTTCTGGTACTTCTTTGATACTTTTGCAGTACAAAATACATTTATTTTAATTTTTCTTGAGTCGGGTCAGCTAAAAATAGATTTTATAAGTTATTTTATCTATTTATAAAATCCGCTGTAAGTTGTTTTATCTATTTATAAAATCTGCTTTAACCTGTAAACCCTATTTCTATTCTGTCAATTGATTAACAGCAAGCAAAGTTACATCATACTACCTAAAGCTGTTCACGGTGAAGAAACAAGAAATATTGGAGTATTTTGCTGTAGTGTCCCAAAGTTGAAAATTAAATACTAAACTATCAGAATTTTTTATTCAAATAATCTAACTTTTCAAAAAAAAATTCAAAATAATCTACATTTTAAAATTATTCCCAAAGTACCCCAGTTAGGGTTTGGGATTACACAATGGATTCAGATGAATTGGTGACACCTTGTTAAGGCTATAAGGGAGTTGCCAATTGGATTGGAGACTCCTCATGCAGCCTCCAATCCAATTGGCGACTGTGTGTTGTACTTACAAGAATGTCGCCAATTCATCTAGAGACCCCTTGTATTTTGAAATTTTTTCTATAAATAGAGGTGTTATGATCATTTACTTCCATATTTCATCTGATATTTTTGTTCTGCTGATAACATGTATCGTCGTCGGTGGGAAAAATCGTTTATTCGAGAGAGAAGCCTCTGATGGACATGTTGTTTTGGAACATACAAAGTTTCAATCAACTTAAGAGGGAGCTGATCGGTGGTTGGAAGGAGACATTGGTGAAGGAGAAAAGATCTGTAGTATCGAGAGACTTGACCAAATGAAATTAGTTTGATTGTCCTAATCAGTTAGGAATATCGTAATCACCTAGTTAATGTTTTATGTTTTATGAAATTAGTATGTGTTGTGTGTTGTTAGTCTTGTTTGTTGTTAAAACTGTTGTAACAAAGACTCATCAATATATGAAAATATTTGGTTACAACAAATGAAACGATAAGGTAAATCATGATGCAGATGTGCCTCCGACATTGGAACATTTTTTTCTGTTGTGTCCGGGCTGACGATATATATTGCACAATCCTATTATTTTATCAGCCGTATCCATTTCGGTTCTTATACGTTTACTGTTTAGGCGTCCCTTTTTCTTTCTTCTCATGTCATCGTTATGCCAAACTATGTCACCTTGGTATGGAGGCCAATAATCCTCCATTGGTAGCACTGTGAAGCCTTCGTTGTATACGTTCATAACATTAATCGCCTTGTAGACATCAGATAGATAGCCATAAGCATCCTGACGAGCATGTGCGCATGCCGCAATGACATGTGAGCAAGGTACAAGGAAGGCCTGGTAATTGCCACAATCACACCAACATCTGTTTAGTCTGATGGCATAGGATAAATTGGGCCTCCCCTCATTATGGTCCATTGTTTCTTGTGCACTGAATGTTTGCCTATGACGATCGAAGACTCTAACTGCATGTGTGATGGCTCTGATAGTATCCTCTTTCATCAATTTCATAATGCTTTCACTGAATACCTGACTGGATGTTAACACTGCACTCCATCTCTCGCCTCTTGTTGCGAAAAGTGATTCCAACCTATAATATGTTGATCTCACCAAAGCGGTGATTGGAAGGTTTCTAATTCCTTTGAATACCCCATTCATGGATTCCCCAAGGTTTGTCGTCATGTTCCCCCAACGACATCCACCATCAAAAGCCCTTGTCCACTTTTCTAGTGGAATGTTGTCTAACCAGCTTCCTGCATCTGCATTTGACATCCTAATTTCATTAAGGTAGTATTGAAATGTTGGTTGAGTTAGAGCATACCCGACATTCACAACTTTTTTGTGAAGGTTCTTGTCTTTGATTGCACGCATGAAGTTTTGTGCAATATGTCTAATGCAATACACATGGGTAGAAGGAGGATTATGCCACCGATTATCATGGTTATTGTACACATTCTCTATAGCAGCATGCCTGTCTGAAATCAAACAGAGGTTGGCTTGTGGAGCGACATGTGTTCTAAGATTCTTAAGGAAGAAACTCCAAGCAGAAGCAGTCTCACCCTCAACCAGAGCAAAGGCTATGAGAAATACATTATTGTTACCGTCTTGTGCAACATCCATAAGCAAGGTGCCCTTGTATTTTTCGTAGAGCCATGTTCCATCAATTTGAATAACAGGTTTGCAGAATGCAAAACCTCTTATACATGGTTGAAACGACCAAAAAAGACGATGAAATATGACATTTCCATCAACAGTTATTCCATCTGTCCTATATGCAGGCACTGTCTGCATGATTGCAACAGTTCCTGGTGTGTATGTCTTAGCGCTACCCAAAATCACGGTAATTCTTTGTATGAATCCTCCAAGTTGCCAAATACTTGTTCAACATCCTTTGTCCTTGCAATCCACGCCTTCTTGTACGATGAAGTATAATTATATCGTGTTACGATATGAGAGACTATTATACTCACCTTGACTGAAGGATCCTTGTTAACAAGCGGCAAAATGTCTTGACATATCAATTTTGCGCTTAGCTTTCGATGATCCTGAACAATATTTATGGCAGTACAACTGTGAGGTGGCTCTATGGAAGCTATCATCCAAGAATCGCTTCTCTTGCTGTAAGACGCAAATATCGCGACTTATGTAATTGTTCATTGTTTCTTGTATATGTTAATTTTAGTGATTTTTTAAATTTTTTTTTACTCTTTTAATTTTTTACTCTTATAAATTTTTTTTACTCTTATAATTTTTTTTACTCTTCTAATTTTTTACTCTTATAATTTTTTTACTATTATGTAAGAAGTCTCTAAGTTTTGGTGTCGTGCCCATGAATATGTTGCACCCGACGAATTAATTCAACCATATATTGAGCTCCCCGGCTTTGGACATGTAAGCAAAATCATGTCTTATTCCGTTGATGCAAAGTTTATACTAGCTTTGCAAGAGAGATGGTGCCCAGAGACACACACCTTCTTTTTTCCAACCGGTGAATGTACCGCGACCTTAGAGGACGTGTACATGTTACTCGGTTTGCGTATTGATGGAAAGGCGGTCAATGGAACAACAAACCTTAATGGTTCAATTTGTGAAGAACTTTTGGGTGCCGACTTGCTAGATGAGAACTCGAGAGGCCAAGGTTACTTTCGCGCCTAAAATCATGGTACGCCGGTTTTATATTAGATGAAGATTCTACAGAGGAAATGAAAATAATAAAAACCAGATGTTATCTAATTCTTTTAATTGGTTTATTTTTATTTCCCGAGGGCACTAGTTATTCTATGCACATAATGTATTTACCTTTATTGAGAGACCTGACTAAAACAAGGGCTCCGCTTGTCTGACTTATTTATATAGCTCTTTATGTAAGTGCGCAAAAAAAACATATCTACTTTTTCTGGATGCGCCGTTTTGCTCCAAGCATGGGGTTGGTCTAGATTGCCATCCCTAGCGCCCGTCAACCACAACGACTTTTCCTTCCCGTATGCACAAAAGTATGTTCCTCACTTAATCTTTGGTTATTTCACCTTAATAATTATTTCTAACTAATTGAGTTTGAATTGTTTTTGGTTTAGATGGTCGGCTAAGGGTATGACATACAATATATGCCATAAACATTGTATCATTCAATACTGCAATTTATTGTGATTGGTGTCTTAACTCCACTGATAAGGATGATCGCAACATAGATTATCTTATCCTTAGGTACCCACATCTTTCTAGGTCCTTTAGGTTTAGTCTTCCTAGAGTTTTTAACAACTTTATGTTTTTGTGCAGGATATGAATACATGTATGCATAGTTAAAACGCTTATGAGATTTTGCTTTAGCCTTAGGTTTTTCAATAGCTTTACCTTTAAGCCTAACAACATTTTGTTACCAGAATGGACAAAATGAGAAGAGAGAGTATTTGGAAAGATTTGTCATACTTATTTATGACATCACCAGAATCTGTTGAGGCTTTTGAAAGATTTTCCTTCTCAAGTTTATAATTTTTGTTTTCCAAAATAAGATTTTCTTCATTTAAACTTGAGAAATCTTTCTTAAGCTTACAATATGCTTCTGACTCTGATACAAAACCTTTTTTAGATCCTTGTATTTTCTCAGAAGATTATGATACTTATCCATAACTCTTGTTAAATTAGATTCAAGTTCAGAGCGAGAGAGTTAAGCAAATACCTCTTCTGAGTCTGATTCAGATTCTGGTTCTGATAGATCATTCTCAGTAGGAGCTTCAGTATACACCATCAACACCACATTTTCTTGCTCTTACTCAGAGTCATCTTCTAAGAATTATGAATCGTCCCAAGTAGCCATTAGACCATTCTTTTTCCCTTGGAAGTCTTTCTTCTTAGGTTTGTCCTTCTTCGGCTTGGGTCAGTCATTCTTGTAATGACTTGGCTCCTTGCATTCAAAGAATATGACTTTTTGTTGGCTCCAGCTTTCTTGGAAACAGAGGTGGACTCGAAACGACTACTTGTCCTTCTTTGTCCTCTGACTCTTCCTTATGTTTTCTTTCAGAGTTGATTCACTCGCCTGGACAGAAGAGACAACCCATCTTCTTCTTCAGAATCTTCTAAAGATTCTTCTTCTTCTTCTTCTTATGAGCAAATGACTTGCTCTTTCTCTAGGTCTCGTCTTCTTCAAGCTCAATCTCGTGACTTCTTAAAGACCTAACAAGTTCTTCAAAAGAGTGTTGTTTAAGTCCTTTGATAACTCCAAAGAAATTACCATAGGTCTCCATCTTTTAGGTAGACTTCTGATGATCTTCTTCACATAATCAACAGTAAAATACCATTTGTCCAATATGTTTGATCCTGCAACAAGACTTGAAACCTTGAGAACATGTTCTCAACTATTTCATTCTCTTTCATCTTGAATGCTTCATATTTATGAATTAAAGCAAGAGCTTTATTTTCTTTGACTTGTGTGTTTCCTTCGTGAGTCATCCTCAAAGAATCAGATATTGACTTGGCAGAGTCTCTATTTATTATCTTTTCATACTCATTATAAGATATGGCGTTCAGCAAGATGGTTCTACCCCTGTGATGATTTTTATAATCTTTCTTTTGTTTATCTGTCATCACTCTTCTTTCTATCTTGTTGTTGCTAACATCTACTGGGTGTACGTAGCCATCAACTACCATATCCCATAGATCTACTTCATGGCCAAGAAAGAAGCTTTTTATTCTGTCTTCCCAATAATGAAATATTTCTCCATCAAAGATAGCAAGTTTAGCGCTATAACAATCTCTACCAAAAACAATAGGAAGAGATGGTGGAATAGTTGCCATTGTGTTTCACACTAGATCTTTATCTGGCATGGTTAAGTGTTTGATACACAATCAATAACAGAACTAGGCTTTGATACCAAGTGAAGGTGGTAAGAAATACAAGAAAGGGGGGTTTGAATTGGGTTTCCAAGATAAAAACCTTTTACACCCAAACACACAAAGTTGAACCAAAAGTAAAAATAAATGAACACAATTATTTTTATACTGGTTCGCTATTAACGAAGGTAATCCAGTCCACCCGCCAAAGTGATTTTTCCTTCTCGATAAGGACCTATCCATTTTAATCACCAGTTTACAAACACACAAAGACTACCCGTCTTTTTCTTCTCGAGTATTCTGACTAAACCCTAGTTACTCAAGGAAACAACCATAATACAATGAGATACAAGTTTTTGTGTTTACAATGATTCTTCAAGAGAGCATATTACAAAAAGTTTAAGTACGGTGAAATTATCATACAATGATGAACAAAATATCTATGTGTGTTTTCTATCTATATTCACAATAATTGTATGTTTAATAAAAGCGTTATAGCGTGAATAGAGTTGTCGAATTAGCAGCTTCATTCATTCTTCAAAGTCTCCTTTATATAGGCATGAAAAGATATGTTTCAGGGTAGAATGAACATCTTTATAAATGATATTTCACCTTGCATAACAGTCTGCCAAGGTGGAAGATAAAATGGTACAAATAGTACAATCCTTATTTCATGAAATCAGCGTAGTGGAAGGAATATATGATCTTGTATTATGTATTATTTTTCTCACGTAAAACCTTTTGATCTTATCTTCTAATCTTTAGAGGCTTCTGAGTAAATGTTGTTGAAGCATGTTTAGAAGGATCAAGAGACTAGTTGAAAAAAGTCTCAAAACCTTGTATTCAGAATCTTGATATAGTTCCTCAGAACCTAGTCTTCATGACTTAATCTTCAGAATCTTGAGAGCTTGATAAATCTTCAAAAGATCTCCTATCAAAGTCACAATCAGAAGCTTTAGCACAAACATTCATCAGAATCGTTGTCTAAGATTATTTTAGATCTTGACGTAATCTGTGAAACGCACATTTGTATCTCTTTAGAGTCAAAGTATGTTGAGTCCAGAGTTTGATGATGTCACACGCCAATTCTACAAAGTCAGAACTTATTAGCATAAGCTACACACTAGACAAAACCATTAGGTTACATAATTGTTCTCTAAGAAATAATGTATTTGTATCATCAAAACTATAAGCCATATGCAGAACCAAATCTTGTTCTTACATAATGGGCATCATGAGTCCAAGTACCATTGGTCCTTGAAACTTTCTTCATATCTTGTTGTGACTATCAACAATATCTCTTCTTCTTCTTCTTCTTCTTATTCTTCTTCATATTTTACAAACTTTGCATTATTTTCTTGATTCTTTGGTTTTTCTGAATAATCATTAAAATAGTGGCCATACCTCTAACAATTGAAACACTGAATGTGACTTTTGTCAGGTTTTTTTCTATCACCTCTTTCTCTACCAACACCACCACCTCTATGGTTACTTTGATATGCCATTCTTCTCTGATTTGATGCATTTCTTTAGTACTATTTTTCTCTACCATTAGAATTGTTATAGCCTCTTCTACCTTTGTTAACGAACCATTTTCCATTTCTTTTCTCTGGATGATTCTCCTACAACGCCACATCATTCTTTGACTTGGTTATAGCTCTTTTAGCCATTCTTTGTTCTTAATATTTAAGCTTTCCTTGAAGCTCTTTCATTTTCATTGTCGACAAGTTTTTTGAATCTGTTATGGCTACTACCACGTGGTCGATCTTTAGAGCCAATGACCTCAAGGTCTTTGCAACAACTGATCTTGATGTCAACGCTTCTGACATATCTTGATTTGATTCACTAGTTTCGTAACCATGGTGAAGAAATCAGATATGCTTTCACTTTCTTCCATCTTAAGTAATTTATACACTTTTTGTGAGTTTGTAATCTCGCCTCTTTCACCTTTTCAGTGCCTCAAA